TATATCCAAATCTTTGATAAACTATATAAAGAAAGCGATGCAATAAGCAATGCTCCGTGGGAGCAGTGCGGAGATCTAATAGCCTGACAAAACAGAAGCAAAACTGAATGTGCTGTCCCAACAGGGGAAACTATGTTCTGTAGTCCCAAACAAATCTTCTTGTACAAGCAAAGATAAAATACAGTCAATGGCAAAACCAGAACACAGAAAAACCCTTCACAAGGTTAATCCAAGCTGTTTTTTACTGTCCTTATTGAGCAGCCACTAAATTACTCATTTCCTCTAGTACATTAGTAAGTAAACACATGATAGCGACAGACACAAACACATCACTTTCAGCCTCTTCCTGCCTATATTCATTCACCAGTCAGATAAAAAAAAAAAAAACACAAAAAACACACAAAACACACAAAACACACAAAACACACAAAACACACAAAAAACACACAAAACACACAAAAAACACACAAAAAAAAAACACAAAAAAAAAAACAAAACAAAAAAAAAAAACCAAAAACACAAAAAAAAAACAAAAAAACAAAAAAAACCAAAAAACTAAAAAAAAAACTAAACAAAAAAAAAAAAAAAAAAAGTAGTTGTGGGTCCTCACACGACTGCTAAATATCTACAACAACATATTTGAAGGTATTCTTTTTACCTTTGCCTTGATGTGAACCTGTACTTCTCTATACAGAATAAAGAAACTTGTTCCCTTTAATGGTGGCCTCCATAGCAGATTATATATAACATCTCTTTGCCATTTCACTGCTCTGTTCTTCTGTGGGAATGGCAAAAGAAACTCAGTGCAAGATTCCACTTGGAGCATATACAGAGCGGAGGACTCTCCCCACCATCTAGTGCAGGGGTATCCAACCTACGGCCCTAGAGAGTTTAGGATGCAGCTGACACAGACAAACCCAGCCCATGCACGTCTGAACGTACACCGAGGATGCCATGCAAAACACAGCAGCCATGGCGGCCTACACTGACAAGCTAGGCAAACACATGTCTGAAGGGATGCCGGGGCTGCCATGTTTACAACATCACTGGCAGCAGGGCTCCCAGGTAAGTAAATGCTGCAAGGCTGGATCTAGGGGGGTGCGGGGTGGATCCCCTTCAGATTTCAACTGCCTCCTCCCAGAGAACATACATAGGCTACCCTCACACCAGCGATTAGGGCCGTTGTGGACTATAGTGGCAGTTTCCCCTGCAGCTTTCAGCAGGTAGGTGCGGTGCCCTGGTTCATTAACTGCAATGACAGTTCGTCGGCAGCTGAACCTATTTGCGGCTCTCTACACAGCCATTAATTACTTGCAGTGATTGCTGAACACAGACAATCGCTGGGTGTGCAGACAGCCACGAATAGGTACCTGCACCTACTCGCTTTTTCTAGGAGGTGCTAAGCAGAAAACTTGTTGCTTCGCCTCGCATAGGCCAAATACAGGTTCATTTTTGATGCAACAATCAGATTTTTACTTTGCACAATATGCATGACTGATCCACAGTGCACGATCTCCCACTCGCAGTATGGTTTCTGCTGTGCAGGGAGTGTGGGAACATAAATTCCATCTTCAGCTGAAAGTGTAATACTATTTCCATTCATACAGACTGCTGCTTATATCCATTACTTGGTGTGTCTCAGTTGTTCCAACAACATAGAATCCCTTAACACCTTCGTGCCCAGCCCCATTATTCCTCTAATTGGGCTATCATGTCCAGGGGATGGGAAAGTCTGCCTGACCATATGGCCCCTGTGATTGGTTCTCACCAGTCCAATTGCCTATACTGCATTTGACTGACATCCAGAAGTGTCGGATGTTTGGTATTCCTCTGGGCTCCATAGTTCCATCTGATGGCCCCTACAACACTATAGAGAACAGTAGTAACATGGAGGCCCCTGAAAAAAAAAACCACAGCAGTGTGGAAGCACACAGCTCACAAGCATCGGATGTTCAAAATTCCCTGGCTTAGAAGGGTGGGAGGAGGCAGGACAGCTAACCAAAAAGAATTTAGTTTTTTTAGTTTTTTTTAACAAGGAGAGCTTACACTCAATTTTCTTTATTTTAGAGACAAAGTTGTTTTAAGTATGTGAAGATAGGATAGGATAGGATAGGATAGGACTGGACTCCCCCCCCCCCCCAAAAAAAAAAAAAAAAAGCTGCATTGTCTCTTACCTGTACAAGACACTGGTTTGGACAGCATCACCACCACACTTTTTACAAAGAATAAAAGGATAAATCAACCTTTACAGGTTTATTTCGCTGTCCCCAGCCTGGCACATGCTTTATTCTCTAGGACATCTCTCAGGGCCATAGTTCAAAGCTAATGGGAGGGCTGAAGGACAAATACAACAAGCTAGAACCCCAGAAGGACAGATAATGTAAAACATTTGTTTTTTGCTTTATTTTTTTTTTTTCTAAAGCTGCTATGTCAGACAAGATAGGGAACCAAATCTAGGAAAGTGTAAAGCAACACCCTCTCTCTCCCGTGATATTATTTTAGCCTTCCTACTTTCACACATTTATTTTTTTATAGAATTCTACTAGCACCGCACTTCTGTAATTCTCGCCTAGGGGGAGAATTACAGAGCTCCCAGCTTCCCTCAGCCTCCTAGGCTACTTAGCATCTCAGGAGGCTTCGGGTTAAAATTACAGCACGTGTGCCATGTCAGAGAGAGAGGGGGAAAAAAAAAAAAAAAAAAAGAACAGAGAGGAGAAAAGACAAGAGGAAAAAAGAAAAAAAAAAAAAGGAGGAAGAAAAAAAAAGGAAGAAAAAGAAAAAGGGAAAGAAAAAGGAGAAAAAAAAAAAAAAAAAGGATGAGGAAGAAAAAAAAAAGAGAAAGAGAAGAGAGGCAGGCCTACTCATGTAACCTCTTTGAAACAGTGTGAGGCAGCTCAGTTTCTATACTAGTCAGTAGGCTCTCTGTAGCTGCTCTTAGATCCACTATACCACTGCTTCCACAGTGTAGTGAGCTTCAGATGTAGCTGCCTCAAGAGAAGAAAAGACAGAAGCGCTATATTGCAGCACAAAAACCTTATGAAGAGATATATATATATATATCTATCTATATATCTATATACACACACACACACACACATATATATATATATAATATGATAGAAATAAATATAATTTTTGGGGGTGAAGTTCCACTTGAACACTTGGGTCCTCCTAGATTGTAAGCTCCAAGGATCAGGGCCCTCCTATCCCTCTTGTATTGAACTGTATTGTCTCCCGTTATATTGTAAAGTGCTGAGCAAACTGTTGGCGATATATAAATCCTGTATAATAATAATAATAATTGGGTCTTGCCCCTCTTTCAGCCTGTGAGCAGATGATTAAATAAAAGGAAAAGCATGCAGAAGAAAAAACAAAAATACAAAACAAAGACACATACTTCTTGATGTACAGAGTTGCAATAATTTGTGCCTTTATAGATTTGCCTGGACTCCAGCACTAAGTAATGGATGACATGGAAGAAGCTGCGATCTCGGTGACAATGCTGCAGAACAAAATGGCAGCTCCATCGTGTCCAGATAACAGGCAGGCCTATAAAGGACAATGGACAGGTAGAGAGGAGGATATAGTAGAAGGCCTGTGGAAGCTGTGTGAGGTGGTAAGAAGCGTGCGGTTATTGCATCTCTCTTGTCACGGTCAGGCTGTAAGGATTCTCATTCCACTCTTAATCTGCACAGATGTTACATGGGCTTAACCCTTCTGCACTCAAACACATCCATCCATCACGCTGCCAGTCCTGTGTTGTGATATACCCCGAGTATAAAATATGCCGACGGTGGCTCCGTATCATACGCACACCAGGCCTCCTGACACTTTTCTTTTTATTTTTTACAAGGGAGAATTATTTCCTTTGGAATTACAAAACTGCAGTGGAAGGTTTCCCAGAGTACAATGCATGAATGCAGAGCAATAGGAGAGCAGTCTGTCTGAGGATTAAATCTCGTCTCAGACTAAATCAAAGGCTTTTCACTGCAGGGGGTCTCTCCAAAATATACATCACAGAGATTGCCAGAAGGGAGAGCTGTACTTCCACCCACAAGGTGGCGCTGTGACAGTTAGGACCAGACTAAATAAAACTCCGCCCACTAAGAAGTCATTCACATGGATTCCGAGAGAAACAAGTATCTCTGCTCCTGGGAGGGACCGGTGTTTGCATACAGCCGCCTGTACAATCAATGACAGGCTGTTGCTGCACGCTGGTAACAGCACACACAACGTGAGTACAGGGTCAGATGAGGGACCCTGGATGCAGATAGACCGCATCCAAGACCACTCATCTCTGCCTGTACACAAGAAGATGCTCGGATGTGCAGTTACCAGCGTACAGCCTGTCATTGATTGTACAGGCGGCTGTATGCAAACACCGCTCACTCCCAGGAGCAGAAATACACTCATTTTTCACAGTGTACAGCTCATTCACACAGGCACAGGGAGCACTACAGGATAACTTCAGGATTAAATACAATTCTAGCTGAACTATGCTGCTCATGGCTGTTTAACCCTCACACTGCCAGGCCCTGTGCTCCACTTGTAAACTCAGGTGGCCAGACCACTTGTGCAATCTTTCATTGTTTGTTTAATACCCCTTCGTGCTTTCAGAGTTTATTAAAGATATTCCCAAAACCACACGCGGTCTGAAAGTATAGAACCGCTAGAGGTAAAATAAGGTGCTAGTGATTTTTCAGGCCTCGTGATAGAAGCACAAACGTTTTTCAAAACAAGATTTTTGCTAAAAAATACACTAAAATCATTATTAGCGAACACAAAAACCAGCAAAAAAGAGTTAATACAGAAAACATAACTGAAGTCATGTAAAACTGTAAATAAGCAATTTAGTCTACAAATCTGAAGGTTATTATTTTTCACATCTGTGCGGGTGGTGCCGCTGCGGGACCCTCACAAATACCTACAGCCCCACCACCCACACAGAGGAATGGGGGACCCGCACAAATATCTGCAGCCTCACCACCCACACAGAGGAATGAGGGGCCCGCACAAATACCTGCAGCCACACAACCCACACAGAGGAATGGGGGGCCCGCACAAATACCTGCAGCCACACAACCCACACAGAGGAATGGGGGGCCCGCACAAATACCTGCAGCCACACCACCCACACAGAGGAATGCGGGACCCGCACATATACCTGCAGCCACACCACCCACACAGAGGAATGCGGGACCCGCACAAATACCTGCAGCCACACCACCCATGCAGGGGAGTACGGGACCCGCACAAATACCTGCAGCCACACCACCCACACAGAGGAATGCGGGACCCGCACATATACCTGCCGCCACACCACCCACACAGAGGAATGGGGGACCCGCACAAATATCTGCAGCCTCACCACCCACACAGAGGAATGAGGGGCCCGCACAAATACCTGCAGCCACACCACCCACACAGGGGAATGCGGGACCCGCACATATACCTGCAGCCACACTACCCACACAGGGGAATGCGGGACCCGCACATATACCTGCAGCCACACCACACATGCAGGGGAGTACGGGACCCGCACAAATACCTGCCGCCACACCACCCACACAGAGGAATGCAGGACCCGCACAAATACCTGCAGCCGCACCACCCACACAGAGGAATGCGAGACCCCCCCAAATACCTGCAGCCTCACCACCCACACAAGGAATGCGAGACCCCCCCAAATACCTGTAGCCTCACCACCCACACAAGGAATGCGAGAACCCCCCAAATACCTGTAGCCGCACCACCCACACAGAGGAATGCGAGACCCCCCCAAATACCTGTAGCCGCACCACCCACACAGAGGAATGCGATACCTGCACAAATATCTACAGCCGCACCACCCACACAGGGGAATGAGAGACCCCCCCCCCCCAAATACCTGTAGCCGCACCACCCACACAGGGGAATGTGGGACCCGCAGCCCGCACTGGAAAATCGCATCTGTCCTGGGATCCTCAGTTCCCATGCGGACAGCGATTTCCCGAGAAGTGCAGGGACTTCTTCCCTGCATGTCCCAGGAGCCCATTCAAATGAATGGGCCCTTGTGTCCGTGCAAATCGTGGCCCGCACAACCACACAGATGCAAGCCAGGGGTTACAGCTTATCTTATGGCATAAGGAGGAAGGCAGCAGACATACAGTGTGCGGACCTGGCCAGCTGGAAGCAGTCCTGTAGGTCAGTATGCTGTACACCCACAGCAGCAATGGGTTAATGCTTTTATAAACCACGAGCAACATAGACAGCTATTTGTGGTCTCATTCTTCAGACATATTACAGCACTACTACACTTGTCAGTTACCAGCATACTAAAGGTCTGACCCCGTGTCTGGGACACTTGGATCTACAGGTAAGCCTATAATAAAGCTTACCTGTAGATCCAAGGCATCTCTCAAATGTGCTCCGGTTAGGAGATATTCACCGTTTCTGCAGCCCCACACATGCACTCTAAAAGGGACATCATCACAACTCAGCCATTCAAACTGCCGGAGTCTGAACACGGAAAGAAGACCGGGTCAAGATGGAAGCCCTGTCAGCGGTGACAGTGCTCTGCTGGAGGCCTTTGTTTTAAAAGGGAAGTATTTACAAGTACAGTTAGATCCATATATATTTGGACACAGATATTTACCAAAACATATTCAAGCTATATATAAATGTGAAATACGGTACCCAATAAATCTACTAAGCTATCCCAATATTCATAAAGAAACTTTCACCCTTGAAAGAGTAAATAATTATATAAATCCCCACCCTAGATTTAGTGGCAAACAAATCTTTAAGGAATAAAGATTTTTTGGAGATTTATTCCTTAAAGACTTGTTTGCCACTATATCTAGGGTGGGGATATTACAAGGTGGGGATTCATTCATATTGTTATATAAATATTCAAGCTATAGTTATATAATGGATATGGGCTGAAAGTGCACACTCTCAGGTTCATTGCCACTAAAGGATTCTCAACAAAATATTATAAATGAACATTTTAGTTATGATTATATTCATCTGTCAAATTACTTTTGGTCCCTTGAAAAAGAGCTGTAATTCCTAAACCCTTCCTCCAGTTTGGATGTACATACCCTCAAATCAACCCTCAAGAGCAGGGGCGGACTGACCATTTGGAAACTCGGGCACTGCCCGAGGGCCCGGGGTCAGTAGGGGGCCCCATGAGATGCCCCTGGTACCTTTTTCATAGGCTTTTTTGAGTTTGGGCAAGGACACAGGGGCCCCATGATCCCCTATTGCCCGGGGGGCCCCATGAGTTATCAGTCCGCCCCTGCTCAAGAGTGTGCACTTTCAGCCCATATCCATTAAAGAACTATAGCTTGAACATGTTTTTGTAAATAACTGTTAAAAAAAAAAAAAAAAAAACTAAAAATGATGCCGTGTCCAAATATATATGGACCCAACTGTATATGCATCGCATACTAGTACATTATGCTCTTAACTTGCAGGGAGATTTTTTTTATTCTTCTTAAATAGATTTTCCTGCCACTTTAAGCCTTGTTAAAGTACAGTGAACCCTAATGAAGGGGGGTGCTATGAGCCCACGAAACAAGCTGACCGTTTTATGTGGGTTTTGGTAAGAACCATAAAAGTATTTGGACTCTACCCTTTTGGCTTGGTGCTCCGATTGTATTTTTGCTTGAATTTCCAGATACCCACTGTGGGGGATCCTTGACTGATGTGAGCAGCCTAGCTGGAGCCAGTGAGCTCAATGAATGCGTGTATTTGTCATTTCGCCCAATGAATAAGTGTCTGAAGTCCCAGCGCTTTTTTGGATGTGGTTTTTTTGAAGCAACAAAAACTCGGCAAAGGCTCTAACCCCCGTCATACACTATACTGAACAACATAAAGATCATTTAGGCCATAGATTGACTATAGAAAGTAGCGTCACCTCTTAGTGCAGTAAAAAAGGCATGAATCACCGAAGTGTTGAACAGAATAAAGAACATGGAGGTTAAACACTGGTATGCATGTATTTCGTTTGTGTATTTACCTGCCTGGCATAAGACCAACTTCAATATACCATACACCTAGTTTTTTTTCCAGCCTTTCCTAAGAAAGGACAGACCCATATTTCCTATTACAGGTTACAGTAAAGTGGAATTGCTCTCAAAATGTGAAGTACCGCAGGTTCACTCCGTGCCCCAGCTTGTAACCAAGTTACAGGCTTTTAGGGAGAGGGCACACCTGCTCCCACTTCTGCAATCTTTGCCTATGCAAGGATGTCATCGCTGACCCTGTTCCTCCCGGACACATATGTCCCAAAAAGCTGCAGGACCAAGGGGCGCTGCCCCAAGCTCACATGCTCAGTTGGGAGCCGGCTGTGGTTCTTCAGGAAGCCACAGCTGTGTTCCATATCCAAGATGGCAGTGCCATGAACCCACAGCAGTAAGAACTGGCAGTGGAAAAGACAGTGCTGGACTCCAGGCTCTCTCTGTATGTGTAGCTGCTCACTGTAAAAACACAACTGAAGTTCCTCTTGAAACTAATAATTGTGGCCCCATGGTTACCAGCCCCCCACCCCCCAAAAAATAAAAGAGGATATCCCTTTATAATGGGTGCTTGCCTCAATCCAGAGCACCTAGTGTGATTTCTGGCTGCTCTTTCATTCCCACAATCCCAGGAGACAGCTACACCCCCCCCCCTCCCAGCAGGTGACTGACAGCTGTGCATGCTTCCCTATGAGAATATGTCCATTCTCTACACTCAGTTCTCAGATTACACTCAGCTCTGTGCTATGCAGTATGTGATGTCAGATCCTCACCCCTTGCCTGTTGGAAGCTCAGAAATACCCTTTGATCTGTGTGCTGTAAAGGAGAGAGGCTGCATATATTGTAAGCTCCAAGGATCAGGCCCTCCTATCCCTCTTGTATTGAACTGTATTGTTGCTGTATTGTCTCCCTTTATATTGTAAAGCGCTGAGCAAACTGCTGGCGCGATATAAATCCTGTATAATAATATGAACACAGGTACAGTTTATATAGAGAGATATGTCACATCTGTGTATCAGTTGAGGTCAGTCACTTCAGTGGGTAGATATGTTTGTTTACAACCACTTTACAGAGACCATATGAGGTTCCAGAGCAAATTCACCACCTGCCATCATGCACTAAGTACTGAGCTTAAAGTAGATGTACAGTCCCCCCGATAAAGTTCTAAATACATCGGCCATCAGAAATCTATCGATCATTTGTGAACTAAACTACCAATAGCCCATGCAGTGTGGCAATGGAAGGTCTGTGACCTCTTAAGTGCAAAAGCTGCTGTGGGTTAGAAAAGTACAGCCACAGACACGACAGTACACTGCAGCAGATGGCATTTTCTATGCGGCTTTGGTTCAGCTTTAAAGAATGTTTTAGAAGGCTTAGTGGAGTTGCCGTAGTTTGTCATCTAACTAAAAATGCTAGTTGCTTGGCTAGGTCTGGCTAAGGACTGTAACTATGCATGCCATTAACAGGTTTCAGAAATGGTAAATTGTTCTGTCCTGTTCCACTTCATTAAGCCAAATCATCAACATGGCCAGTGTTTACCTTGATTGGGATTATACAAGATTTTGGCCATCAGAAGGGTCATATATCCTCCATGACTTGGCTCACAAAGCTGCTGCTACTGGGCACAGAAGAGAACTTTGAGCCAAGGTGCAGGGTGGTCCTGACAAGCCTCTAGCAATAAAGTGCACTGAGCTAAATGACATCTAACAGGAGCATTCAATAGGACGTTTTTCCTCCAGCGTCTAACAATTTATACGGAAAGAAGCGGCGCACATGGTGTGCTAAGAGGCTGGCCTGACGCAGCAGTGGACAAATTAAAGGCCAGATAATGTTCACTTAAAAGAAAAAGGGTTCAGACCCAGATGTCATGGTGGAGGTGTGCGGTCTACCTGGCTTTGATGGTTGGTCTAGACCAGGGGTGGGCAACCTGCGGCTCTCAAGCTGTTGTAGGACTACAAATTCCATCATGCCTCTGCAAGTCATAGCTGTAACTGTCAGTTTTGTAATGTTGCAATGTCTCATGGGAAATTTAGTTCCAAAACAGCTAGAGAGCCGCAGGTTGCCTACCCCTGGTCTAGACCTACAGCCAGAGTGTGAATTGTAATCAATAACAAGTTATTATAATACATGAACAGGCGTGGCACACAATAAGGCTTGGCCAAGCCAAGTCATGGATGGAATAAGGTGCCTACCTAGTGCTGTTCTAAGCAACGGAGTACTAGCCTATGTATAAAAAAAAAATCCTACATATACTGCAGGCTTCTTTAAAACCTTAGCCTTCAAAGAACAATCCCTTGCCCTTACCACCACACCACTAACCCATCATCACTGGTGGTTAATGGCAAATTGCCCCCTTCACCTACAAATTTCCTAATTGTCTTCTCTGTTTGTTTACAAACATTCAGCCTATCCAAATCAGAGGCGCTTCTGCCATAGTGAATGGGCTGAATGTTTGTAAACACTAGCAGAATTTACACTTGTAATTGCTTTGACCCAATCTCATCCATCACAAGGTACAGAGCCACTCTGGTTTGCTCTGTACATCTTTCCTGTGATCTGAGCTGTCCAATGGCAGCTCAGATGTTCAATGCATGGCCGCCCTAATGCGTTTTGCAGTACCTTTTAAAAAAGGGCTCTCCAGAAATACATATCCACCAAATTGCTTTCATTGA